TGTTTAAAGACGGTTCAAAATAACGCCACTGAAAAAAACGACTTACCGTTTTTCGCACAACCATTGCAGCATCCCCATGGTTTTGTGATCCATGTGTCCTGGGTGTCATGTGATCCATGGGTCATGGGATCTCATTTGGCGACCAGACAAGCAAAGTACATGAGGAATCCAGATTCACTTAATGACGGTGTCACTAACATAATAACTGCAGTGATTCACTTAGAACTTAGAATAACTTTATTATCACTTTGACATGTACACTAATCAGCCTACATTAAAGTGAAATTTTGTTGCATACAGCTTTCAAAGGGTCATCAACTCCAATATACACTATATAAACACGACAGAATAAATAAATACAAAATTATGCATATACCTATATATATGACACAGAAAAACAACAGAGTCTAGTTCAGATGTAAGCATGTACATGGAAGAAAAAAGAATCTTGCGCGTTTTCCGAATGGATGGCAAGGGAACAAAGCCGTGTCAGAATCTGGAAGTCCTGCTAGAAATACTTCAAAAGCTCCACCCAGAAGGGAGCGACAGACACCGGCTGTGAAATGGATGTGTGGGGTCTCTAACAATGCTTTTCACTCTAAGTGCATAACGCTTAGAATCAGTGTCCTGAATAACGGGAATCGGACTTTCTATAATCTCGGCTCTCCATACCTCCTCAGCTGTACTTAACAATAGTAGCTAGAAATGGGACAAAACTTAACAACTGTTTTGCTTAGCAACGAAAGTTGTAGGCTCAGTTGTGGTCATAAGCCCAAGACTACCTGTACTAATTGCCTGCCTCATATTGTCTAATGTTAGCAGTGGCCCAGAGCTCAATCTGTTTTTCCTGAGGCAGGCTGGGAACAATTCTGATGGACACTTAAGTGCCATAATAGTGCTGATGGGACAAAACAAAATGGAGAACTATCGTACAGGAGCTTGTTTCTTCACCTCTCAAGGAGGAAGTAGAGGCAGATTGACTTCTGTTTTTTGCTAAGAAGGAAAATTCTTAAGAAAAGTCATCGGCAGCATATGTTTCTAATTTTCAGAAGGACTTGTTTCCTTTGCAATATCAGATTGGTATCCTGTCACAACAAGACAAAGGTACCTTGGTAGACAAGCTACAAACCAATGTTGTCTGGAAGATCTGACTTTACAGGATGAGGTTCTAGGAACCTGCTCAAATCAGGCATGAACTAGTGTAGTTTGGTAGAAGAGTGCATACTTGACAGCAAAAAGACCAAGGTTTAGTTTCTGTTGTCTCCAGGTAAGGATGGAGAAGAAATCTTGCTAAGATGCCATCTTCCTATCTGGACAATATTGAGCCTAATGGAGAAGAAAGTTTTCTTGTCTTGGAGGCAGCTGTCTCCTCCATTGTGCACCTGTTTTCATGGTTGAACTTGTGCCCCATGTCCAGTTGTGTCTTTCTACATTTTCTGTGAGGTTCCTGGGTGTTAAGAGAAACAACTAAGAATCCTGTGGGTCTCTTGAAGCAAAATGCATTTATGGAAGCCTAATTTGGGGGGAAGGCTGTCCATTTTAATTCATTGCTTGGATATTGGCCTGGCTGAGATCTCTCTGGATGAGTAGATGGCAATCAGTGGCACATTATATCAGAATCATGATATCATTATGTATTTATAATACTGCAAGACTCGTGGTTGCTTTAGTCAAATTCAAATCGCTCCTAAGGTAGCTGTCTTCTCCTCAATCCAGTTCTTCAAGAAACATTGATCATCATCAGGCTTGAACAAACAAGATGACCAATAGGTACAGGAAAGATTCAGGAGCTTTATGGGTCTCCTCGCTGGCACTGAAGCAATAGAATAGAATAGAATAGAATAGAATAGAATAGAATAGAATAGAATAGAATAGAATAGAATACTTTATTGGCCAAGTGTGATTGGACACACAAGGAATTTGTCTTGGTATAAATACTCTCAGTATACCTAAAGAAAAGATACATTCGTTAAGAATCAAGAATCATAACATACAACACTTAATGACAGTCATAGGGTACAATCAGCAATCAAATCATACTAGGAAACAGTCAATATAAATCGTAAGGATACAAGCGACAAAGTTACAGCAAGATGAAAGACAACGGGGTTGAAGGGTCAGGAGTCCACCTTCTGCCATGGGCCTGTCACCCTCAGCCAACCATCTACTCTGGTGGTCGTTCTGCAAGAAAACTGATGGAAGGAGCTGTATGTATGCTGCTTTGGGCTTCTGAATGAAAGGTGATGTCATAGCTTGATCAATACAATCCAGTGGTTGAGTGGTTGGTCCCACTGGGATGAGACATAAATACAGTTGCCATGCCCTAAAAGACCACCAGGGGGCAGTGGGTATGTAGTTTCAAGTCTATATTGGGACTCATCAAACTGAAGTAGCCAAATCTTTCACTGAGGCTCAAATCAACCAATCAGAATAGAGCTGAAAGGGATTTTGGAGGTCTTCTAGTCCAACCCCCTGCTCAAGCAGGAGACAGGATACCATTTCAGACTGGCTGTCCTCAAATCTGGTTGTATACATCTGATGTCCCAATAATAGGAGGAAACAGGTCACATGCTGCCTCCTGGTGTTCTTATAAGTTTATAAACTCACACAGGATATACACTGTGTAAAAAAATAATTTCCACTATTTCCCCTCCCTCCTCCGGAAGTTATGTATAACTTTGTAGGTGGGGACACGGCATAATGCAACATTTGTTTCTTTCTGTTCTGGCAATTTAGGCAAGGTGGACTGTATCCACCAATCTGATAGATTGCTCATACCTTTATCAATTGATGGTACAAGAGAAGATGTGAATTTCATAAACTGGGGGAAAACTGGGGGGAAACATGGCAAATATTAGCTGTCCTCCAGTCAGTGGATGGCAATTTCTTCAAAGTTCCCCGCAGTTCCTGTGTCTGCCACAGGGGGAACAGTCACAGTTTGAAATTGATCTGCCCTTTTTTCAAGTTTAATTCTGTTGAATTCATACACCCCAATTTTGAAAGCTGTTGACTTACCTCGTTTCATTCCACTCACAGAGACTCTTCTCCTTTTCCTTGAACTTGAATCCTCCTGTTTGTTCCCCTCCTGCCCCATTCATTTGATCTTTCTAGTTTTCTCCCCTTTTTCCCGATTTCTCTCTCTGATTGGCTTCTCATATTGGCCTGGTTTAAATAACAATTGATAGCTGCATAAAACACTGAAGTGGCAGAGAAATGTGCTTTTTTTTTTTTTTGGACACGGAGGATGGATTTCCATGACAAGACATGGGATGCGGGATTCTGCAACCTGATCTCCAGCTTTCAAAATGCCATTAGCCACCTCTGAGAATTCGAATAGAGGTCACAAGAAAGTCCAAGGAAGAAAGAGTTTAATTTGGGTGTGTGGAAGGCTTCCAAGTTTATGTTATTTATTTACATCCCACCTTTATTATTTTTACAAACAATTCAAGGTAGCGAATATATGCACCACACCTTCCTCCTCTTATTTCCCCCACAACAACAACCCTGTGAGGTGGGTTGGGCTGAGAAAAGATGACTGGCATCTAAAGTCGCGCAGCTGGCTTTCATGCCTAAGGCGGGACTAGAACTCACTGTCTTCCGGCGATTGGCCCAAAGTCAACCAACTGATTTTCATGCCTAAGACAGGACTAGAACTCACAGACTCCTGGTTTCTAGCCTGCCTTCACCATTTGATGGCTGATGCATTTCAGTCTCAAACTAAAGTTCAGTTCCCCCTACAACCTTGTAAAAATATTATGAGAACAGGCTCATTTCAGATTTGGAGACATTTCAGGAATAAGGATTAAGAGATTTTCATCTTGAAACATTGTGCACACTTCTAGTTTTAAGATATCTAAACACTTGGCCATAGGTTCATGATCCTGTTTTGGCTCAGAAGCTAAATAGGGCCAATGTAGCTAACACTCGGAAAGGAGACCACCAAGCGATTAGCCATGCTGAAATATCCAAGAAAAAAGATTTGTTGCTGCCCCAAACCACTACATGCTGGCTGGGGAATTCTCAAATTTGCCATGGTTAAAATATACCCAACAAAGAACTCACGCAGGTGCTTTTCCCTTTAAAATCCACACTGTACATTTTTAGAATAAACGTTTCATATGATTAGCTATTAACTAATATCTGTTCTGCTGCCTCTGAAATGCTGTATGCAAGTTGAAAATCGCATCTGCATTTCTATTGCCTCTTCAGAGTAATCCTTCCTGGACACAGAGTGCTATTTCTGAGCAAATCTGCATTTGCAGTTTGCAATATGGATTTGGGGGGGGGGGGAGAGCTATAGCTCCCCTAATTCCAAAGACATTGGCAAGTTTGGGGAAGGTATTGCCCAACTTCGATGCACTTGGATCTTCTAATTTCCTGCTTTTATTTAGTGGAAGTGTAAAATCTTAAAGCATGTCTATGGCGAGTCTCAGATCATCGTCCCAAAGGTGCTTTTTTCAAGAGGCAACTGGACTTTCTGGTGGGTTTTTTTTCCTCCTTTGGAGACGTTTCGCTTCTCATCCAAGAGCTAAAGAAGCTTCTTGGATGAGAAGCCAAACCTCTTCAAAGAAAAAAGAACATCAGAACATCTAGTTGCTTCTTGAAAAAAAAAAGCACCTTTGGGACAAAATCTTAAAGAGTGTTTCTTGTCATGTTCATCAGAAGTGGCTCGGCACCACCTTTGCTCAGATTGTTTGTTTTGGCTGGGTTTGCTGTTTACCTCACCGACCTGCATTCCGGGGATCGCCTGGTGGTCTCCCGTCCAAATCCCCACCAACCTGCTCAGCTTCCCAGCCCTACGTGTTGCTCATCGCCCGCACTTTGGCCATGTCCGGCTAAGCAACCCGGCGGATAAGCGACTTCCGCGGCTCGCCGCCGCTTCCCCTTTAAGCCCCGAGGCAAACTCCCCGCGGCTTCTCCCCGCCCGCCCCGTCTGTAGGTCCGGCCTCCCTCCCTCCTCCCTCGCTCGCCCCACCCAGCAACGCAGCAGCCCGTGCGCGAATCGCAACTTTTCCCCCGGCGCCGCTCCGCGTCAGGGATTCGCTTTCCTCGGCGGAATCTCCCCTCCTTTCCACGCCGGTTTTCGGGCGCTCTCCGCCGCTTCCGATCCTTCGGGATCCGGCCCGGTTCCTCGCTCACCCGCGACATCCGTCCCTTCGCTTCTGGCCTCGCCCAGAAGGTGAACCGTCTCCGCGGACCCCGCGCTTCTCCTCCCGGTCCGCGCGCTCGGCTCGCTTTCCCCGCGGGGTCGGTCCGCGTCCCGCTTGCTCGGCCCGGTGGGCAGAGGCGGGCGCGTCCCTGCCTGCCGCCCCTCGGTGCTTGCCAGCCGCCCGCCCGCCCGCCTTTTTCTGCAGCTCCGATGAAACCCGGCGGGGGAGCCGAAGCGCCGGAGGGCGAGGGCGCGGAAGGGGAACGGGAGCCGCTAAACCCCGAGTCGTCGGAGCCGCTGGGCGTCTCCGCCACTTACCGGGAGTTCGTCCGGCGAAGTTACCTGGAGCTGATGAGCGCCAACCAGCACTCGCTGCACGCCCTGAACTGGCGGCGGCTTTATCTCAGCCGGGCCAAGCTGAAAGCCTCCAGCCGCACTTCGGCTCTGCTCTCCGGCTTTGCCATGGTGAGTTGGGGAGACTGGAGGGAAGCGCCTGCCGTCCGGAAGACCGGCGGGGGTGGGCAGGTGGGAGGCTGGGCCCGCTCTACCCGGTGGTCCGCGCTGCCCTCGCCCATGTGTCTGGCGGGCACATGGGAGAGAAGTTTAGGTTGTGTTAAGACCATAACTGAGACATTTAGGTGACATTTGTCCCATTTTACATCCTTTCTTGCCACAGTTGTTAAGCGGATCAATTGATAAGAACAGAGCTGAAAGGGACCTTGGAGGTCTTCTAGTCCAACCCCCTGCTCAAGCAGGGGATCCTAGACAGTTTCAGACAAGTGGCTGCCTAGAATCACTCCCTGCACTTGTTAAATTGGTAACCTGGTTGTTAAGTGAATCTGAATTCCCCCTTGGCTTTGCTTGTCAGAAGGTCACAAAAGGGGTCACGTGACCCTGAGATACCGAAACCCGTCATAAATACAGGTAGTCCTCGAGTTACGACCACAACTGAGCCCAAAATTTCTATTGCTAAGTGAGACAGTTACCAAGGAGGTTTCGCCCCATTTGACGTCCTTTCTTGCCGCAGTTGTTAAGCGAATCACTCACTGTGCTTGTTAAATTAGTAACCTGGTTGTTAAGTGAAACAGGAATCCCCCGTTGACTTTGCTTGTCAAAAGGTCGCAAAAAGTCATCACGTGACCCTGGGATATGGCAACCGTTATAAGTATGAGTCAGTTGCCATGCACCTGAATTTTGATCACTTGACTCTGGGGATGGTGTCATGGTTTCAGGTGTGAAAAATGGTCATATCACTTTTTTCAGTGATGTGGTAACTTCAAACGGTCGCTATATGAACTGTTGTAAGTCAAGGATTACCTGTAGGTGCTGCTCGCAGAAAATGCAGGCACAAGGCTCCTATTTCATATGTTCCCTATTTCCTGCAAAAGGAAGGGGGGAAACTCCTTCCCAACCCAGATAACACCCTCCCCGTGGCTTTTCCTCTGGTGGTCCGTGGCGTTGCAGGAAATTTTTCTTTTACTTCCAGAAAAAGGCCAGAGATTAAATGCCTAGGGTGACCCCTATCTAATTTTACAAAAGTCAAGTGCAATTTTTTTATCTGACCCAAGCAGATCATTCCAAGATTGGTTAATCTTAAACATCAAAGCAGGCTCTGTATCTCTCTGGATCTATGCTTTCTTCTCCCAAAAGGATGCAAAGTTGGAGGTGTGTTTCGATCAGAAAGGTCGGCAGTTTGGCAGTTCGAATCCCTAGCACTGTGTAATGGAGTGAGCTCCCATTACTTGTCTCAGCTTCTGCCAACCTAGCAGTTTGAAAGCATGTAAAAATGCAAGTAGAAAAACAGGGACCACTTCGGTGGGAAGGTAACAGCGCTCTGTGCGCCTTCAGCGTTTAGTCATGACGGCCACATGCCTACGGAGACGTCTTCGGACAGCGCTGGCTCTTCGGCTTTGTAACAGAAATGAACACTGCCCCCTAGAGCTGGAAACGACTGGCACGTATGTGCGAGGGGAATCTTTACCTTTACCTTCGTGGCTCAGCCCAACGGTTCCCCTCCCAAGCAGCCTTGTGGCATCTCCAAGCCATAAAACATTGTGTCCAACTCTGCCACTTTAAGACCTGCAGACTTCAATTCCCAGAATTCCCCAGCCAGCTATGCTGGCTGGGGAATTCTGGGAATTGAAGTCCACACGCATTAAAGTATCCGAGGTTGACTTAACATCGCCTTAAAACTTGGCTCTGGGATAGGAGCGTTTGTCATGTGCAGCTTCCAAGGCTCCTTTCCGACTTTTCCCAACCCAGGCATGCTTTTCAAAAAGTTTTGGAGTGCAGATCCCAGCTAGTTAAAATGAGGGGCATTGTAGTCCAAAACAACCAAGAACATTCTGCTTGGGAAAAGGCTATTTTCGTGTACATAGTCTGCCTGCGTCTCTTTGTAAAGTAGGGGTGCCTAAAGAAGTCAGCCAAACCTTTCTCTATACTGTATTTATTATTTCAATATATGAGGCCACTTCTCTCAAATTCATGGCTCTGGGCAACTCGCCCTAGTTTAAAAGCATGTGAAATTCAAGAAACGGTATAAAAAAACCACCCAAGAGCCAGTTTGGTCTAGTGGTTAAGGCTACAGGCTAGAAAGCAGTGAGTTCAAGTCCTACCTTAGCCATGAAAGCGAGTGACTTTGGGCCAGTCCCTCTCTCTCTCTCTCAGCCCAACCCACCTCACAGGGTTGTGACTGTGCGAAAAATAGGGAAGATGTGTTCATTTGTTTGCTGCTTTGACTCATTTGTAAAAATAACCAAAGAGGGATACAAATATATAAATGTGCTGGTAGAACACCGCAACTGTAAAGGGCTTTAATTTTCTCTACCTTTTGAGACCCCCTGGCTTTATATACAAACTCTAAAGTAGGCCTTACTTTGTTTTCAAAAACAAAAAAGGAAAATGGATAAACTGACTTCAAAATCACGCTAGGAAATTCACCACCATGCCACCCTGATGAAGGCCCGCCATTTTGCCTTCTCTTCTCTGCTCCTTTCCCACCCCTCAGAGCCAAAAGCTGATCGATCTGGAGCTGCCACAAAAGACTTTTTAAAAAGAGAAGAGCTAATTTGCTGAAACTTTTTCTCTCTTTTGTTGCACAGTGCTCGATCCCTCTCTCTCTCTCTCTCTCTCTGTGTGTGTGTGTGTGTGTGTATTCTGGAGTGCCAGGCTTCTGCAAATGTCGTTAAGCCCCCAAAGCCTTTGAGCATGTGCATTCAGTTATAAAGTGAATCACTGTAGTTGTAAAGCGAATCATGCAGTCGTTAAGCGAATCCGGCTTCCCCTGTTGCTTTTGCCAGTCTGAAGCTGGCTGGGATGGTTGCTTGTGGCGATCGCATTAACCCAGGATGCTGCAACTATTGTAAATAAATGTGGATTGCCAAGTGCCTGAGTTTTGATCATGTGACCTTGGAGGTGTAAATGGTTGTAAATGCAAGGACTGGTCATAAGTCATTCTTTCAGTGTCATTGTAACTTTGAACGGTCACTAAATGAATGGTTGTAAGTTGAGGACTAGCTGTACAGAAAGTCCCCCCCTGCAACCCGTCCATTGTCCAACCGTCTTAGCACTCTAGCAGCGGTTATTCTGCGCCTTCTGAGAGTAAAGGCAGTCCTCGATGTACAACAGTTCATTTAGTGACTGTGCAAAGTTACAAGGGCACTGAAAAAAGTGACTTATGACCAGCTGTCAGAGTTACAACCTTTGCAACACCCCCATGGTCACTTGGTCAACATTCAGATGCTTGGCAACTGGTTTATATTAATGACCTTTGGATCCCAGGATCATATGATCATATGATCATTTTCTGTGACCTTCTGACAAGCAAAGTCAACAGGGTAGCCAGATTCACTTAACAACCAGATTGGTAACTTATCAACTGCGGTGATTCACTTAACAAGGCAAGAAAGGTTGTAAAATGGGGCAAAGCTCACTTAACAAATGTCTCACTTAACCAACAGAAAGTTTGGGCTCAATTTTGGTCATAAATTGAGGATTACCTATATGTGGGATTGGTATCTATGGCCTATAAATACAGTATTTCATTTCTGTCTTTTAGGTTTGCATAGTTTTTATATTTTTTAAGATTGTAAGCCACCCGGAGGTACCTTGTGGTAAGAAGGTCGGCCAATACGTTTTGCAAATCAATAAAATATAGACATCAGAGAATCTTTTGCCTAAGGCCCTCGTACAACATATATTTTGCCCCCATTTCAGTTTAACGTATAATTTTAATTTACCTCTGTCCCTCCTTTCCTTCTTTTTACCTTCCATTAGGACTCGGATTCACCAATAAGGTTTTCCACCCACTGCTTTGTTTTCAATAGTCCTATTCGGTGGGTTAGATGGAGAACTGAGGCCAGAGAATAGAGCTGGAAGGGACCATGGAAGTCTTCTACACAAACCCTCTCCTCAAAAAGGAGACCCTGCCCTACACTATTTCAGAAAAATGATAGTCCAGCCTCTTCTATCTTAAAATTAGAATTGTATCACTGGTTAATTGTTCTCAAGTTTCTAGCTAGGTATGGGTCTCCTGGTATAGTCAGAATAACAGAGTTGGAAGGGACCTTGGAGGTCCTCTAGTCCAACCCCTGCTTGGGCAGGAAACCCTATACCATTTCAGACAAACAGCTGTCCAAACCTCCAGTGTTGGAGCATTAACTTCTGGAAACAAGCCGTTCTACTGATTAATTGTTCTGACAGGAAGTTTCTCCTTAATCCCAGGTTGCTTCTCTCCTTGATTAGTTTCCATCCATTGTTTCTTGTCCTGCCCTCAGGGGCTTTGGAAAATAAGTTGCCCTCCCCCTCTTCTTTGTGGGAGCCCCTCAAATATTGGAACACTGCTATCTTGTCTCCCCTGTTCCTTTTCTCTCTCTATACTTATCCATCTCAATTCCTGCAACCGTTACTCACATGTTTTAGTTTCTAGGGCCTTCATCATCTTTGTTGCTCTTCTCTGCACTTTTTCCAGAGTCTTTTTTTTATAATGTGGTGATCAAGACAGAGGTGGCCTGAAGCAAAAAATGAGAAGTTTCCTTTCTCCAAGCCAGATATGCAGACATTTCCGCATTTGGGGCCACACCCAACACAGAAAGCTAATTTAGCAGGCCATAAAGAAGGCTTGATGTGAAGCAGAGCTTTGGGCTCCAGTAGAAGGGAAAGCTTGAGGAGATAAGGAGAATAAGGGGGCGTGCATAAGCGCACCAACGTGCCTACCGTCCCTGTCCTATTGTTTCTCTATTCTTTTATTTTTCTTATATGTACCCATCTCATGTATTCACAACTATGTATACACTTATACTTATTATCTTGTAAACAATTGACAAATCAAATAAATAAATAAATAAAAATAAATAAACACCTGGAAGGCTGCCATTGCTATCCCTGCTATCACCTGCTGCCTGAGGCAATCAGCTTTTTCACTGTGTTTAATGACACGGCCTGATTACGATCGATCGTTGAGCTGC